TCGGAGAAACCTGGGTGAGGCAGGGCTCGTAGAGCTAGCACAATCTCAGAAGTAGCCTCGTGGAATAATTGGTCTCCTTGGTCATCAGCCGTATCCGAATAAGTCGAGGAATCATAGCGGGTAGATTCAATACGGAAACACACACCGCACCAGCCAGTAGCATTGGCATCAACTACAAGTAGAACCCCAGTCGTGCTGGAGCCGCCAAGACCAAAATGTAGCGCGGGTAGTCGTCCACCGAAGACCATTTCAGTAAGGCGCGTGAAAGCCGTGCAGAGCGATTCGTCGTCAGTGATGGGTCGTGCGCCTTCCGCTTGTAGAGCTTTGATGCGAGCGAAAAATAGCTTCAAATTAGATACGCCTTCCGGAGCCAACCATCCACGATAATATTGGAATTTCCCCGCCCACGATCTCAACCACTTGAGTTGGCGAAGGGGAATGTTACGCTTGTAGTGGAAGAATTCATGTAATGCTGACTCCGCAAGCCCCTTGACGAGTTCTTGTTGAGAACCTTCTGGTTTGTACGTAGGACCGTCGAGCACATATCCACAAAAACGTAATGACTTAGTAGCATAGGTTGATTTCTGGCGGTTCACGACGAAACCATAGCCTTCGAGGAAGTCGGAGAGGTCCTCAATGCATTGGTTGAGAGTCTTCTCATCGGCGGCACCAAGTAAAAGGTCGTCTTGGTAGTGGTCGATGTGGACTCGTAATTTACACTGTGCCCTGAATAAGTATAGGAGATGAGATAAGGCACGGGTAAAAATGAGAGGAGGGTAGGTCCAACCCTGAGGAAGTCTACACAGTCGCCAGAGAAAGGAGTCGCCAAGAGAATTAAGATTGCCAGTGTCGTCCATGACAGTGCATGTAGTACGGAAACAGAATAGAGACCGAACGCGCTCGGGAATGGAGATGCTGTAGAAGGCATCGCTCAGGTCCAGGCGACCGTAGAAGGTAGTGGCAAAACTCGGCCAATTGTTGAGAATATCGATAGGTCCTTGTTGATGTTGGTTCGGACTTTCTAGGTCAGCTTTCGGCATACCAGATGATACTGAGCGTGGTACCCATTGGAAGTTGTTACCGGCGACGGTGAGTTGTAGATTGTTAACCGGGCGAGCATCCACAGTCACCCTATATCTCTTCTTGAGATCTGCATCTGGTAGGTGGTAAGGTCGTGGCGGTTTGGGGCCATTACCTGTGGCCAGCTTATCCACCAGAACTGTCTCCAAAATGATGATGGCGTCGGCAGCCGGAATAAGTTCCACTTTCCCTTCTCGATACATTTGTAGAACTCTGGAGTGTAGAATAGCAGACTCCAAGACTGATCGGGGCCGCATTTTCTCACTGAAGGGAATGACCTTAGCTGTTTCGAAGCATGGAGCACGAACGCAGAGCCT